TGGGACAAGCAGGTTTCTTTTGTTGTGCCCTTCCCCTATGGCATTTCTTCTGCCTCGGAGCCAGCCAACTGTGGACTTAATCTATGACCCTAGATAAACCTCACTTCCCTTCAGTCGTATCAGATATATTTCCACTGATGGAAAACTATTGCACATGTTCAGTAGCAGTGCTGTTAATAGCAATTGAATAGAAAGAACCCCAAACTAACATTTCAGAGTATCCCACCTACATACTTTTCCCTAGATGAAAAGAGAATCATTTGGGTCCTTTATTGGAGCCAGAAAAAACTGCAGAGAAATTAGGACTTACTTTTCTTACTATTCTTAAAGAGTGTAAGTTAAGTGTTTGGTCTTTCACATTTTCCAGCCTGGGCTGCTAATGATTGGAGATTCTGGGAACTCCCTACTTCATATTTACTTAAATAGCTCTTCAGTTGACTGGTAAAGATTAATTGACTCCATCTGGACAGGCTTGTTAAATAGCATTGTAGCAGCTCCCAGCATTTATCCTCTCAAGATTTCTTAGAATTTTTAAGTTACTGAACACCTTCAGATAAATAGAAAGTTTTGTACTTCTAAGATTAGATATTCTGAAACTTCCTCCATTGCATGTCCTTGTCTCAGGGGCTGAGGAGATAGTTCAGTAGAATAAGCGCTTGCCAGGGCCTGAATTCAATCCCTGGTTCTGCCAAAAAAAAAAAAAAAAAAAAAAAAGGAAATGAATCTAGATTCTCTCAGTTTTGCAGAAATAATTACTTAAGTTTACAAAGTACAATGGACCCCAGATTTCCAGGGGTTATGTTCCAAGAGCACCTGCGAATTGTGAAAAACAGCAAATTTCAGTTGTAATCAGAAAAATGCCCATAAGTTCTTTTTTATAATTTAAACCCTAAATGTGCAATTTCTTCTGCAGTTATGTAATTTCACTTAATATTATTAATAAAGCCTTAGATGTAGGACATTTTGGCAGCATATTAGGTATATTAGGGATTGAACAAAATAGAACACTTGATAGCTACAAGAGAGACAGCAAACTTTATGATGTGGGAGGATGGGAAACAGGCAGCTGCCAATCAGCAGTGAGGAAAACTGGGTAATGCTCTCAAATTGGCTACTTGCAAACCTCCCAGCAAAAAAACAATTGTATAGAATATTTGGATGAGGGTTTCCACAAACAATTGTTAGGCTGTACAGAAAAATCTATAAATGGCTGAGGCTGTAAACTCTAAACCATGACTTGACAGAAATATACCGTACCATTTATTTGTAAGTGTCTTCATGTAATCCGCTGGCCTTTTATGGCTACTTTTATACAGCAACCATTATGCATATTCGGAAGTTGATGACACTAAGCTATTTTAAAATTTTTATCTCTGGAAGAAATGATAGAATACATAAATCACAATTTGAGGATGAAGGGCCATCCAACTAGGTCAGCAGATTAAAGTGCCTGCTTAGGCAGACACAGGGGTCAGGAGTTTGATCCCCAGGCCTACGCCTGCCTGCTGGCCCTGCCCCCAGGGCACTCTGACATGGTGATTGAGACTGGGTGAGGTGGCGCATGCCTGTAATCCCAGCACTTGGGAGGCTGTAAACAGGAGGATCACTACAAGCCCAGTCTATGCAGTGAGACCCTGTACACCCTGTCCTAAAATACAAAATAAATAAAACAGTTTGAAGATGAGAATGGCATTAATTTTGGCTGATGTCAAAGGAAAGTTGATGAGCGTCTTTACTTTGGTTGGCTTCAACTGAGCCTGCTAAAAATGGGACCAATGTACAGTATGTTCTTTGTGATAGAACGCAGTGTAGGATACAAAGCAGAGGTGAGCCTGAATTTAAACTCGAGCTCACAGAAAATACAAGAGTAAGTTAAAATAGCAAGAAAGCAGACCAAACCAGAACATAAGACATTCTATAGGACAATCGACCTGGTTTCTTCAGTAAGCAAAGGCATGGGAGTAAAAGGGACAGAATAGGCTATATTTAGAAGGGTTTGATGGGGGGTGACAGGTAGACAGTGATGCTTAAAAACTGTTACCAGGCCTTCTAAGGTCAATTAAGACTCAGGACATATGAGAACTTGTACTGTAACGTCATGTACCTCGGTAGTGTCCCAGATTTTCTGATGGATGAGGTTATGGGGCCAAAGAGGAAATTGATCGATGACGTGGAGTGTGCCTAAGGAGAGTCCCATGAGGAGAAGACACTCTCTCAG